AATGATCAAGGGTCTGGAGAACAAGCCCTATGAGGAGTGGCTTAAAGAGCTGGGCATGTTTAGCCTGAAGAAGAGAAGGCTGAGAGGAGACATGATAGTATAAATATTTGAGAGGAAGTCATAGGGAGGAGAGAGCAAGCTTGTTTTCTGCTGCCCTGGAGACTAGGATGCAAAGCAATGACTTCAAACTACAGAGAAGGAGATTCCACCTGAACATTAGGAAGAACTTCCTAATTGTGAGAGCTGTTCAGCAGTGGAACTCTTTATCCTGAAGTGCTGTGGTGGCTCCTTCTATGGAGGCTTTTAAATAGAGGCTGGATGGCCATCTGTTGGGGGTGCTTTGAACGTGTTTGTCCTGCTTCTTGGCAGGGGGTTGGATTGGATGGCCCACAAGGTCTTTTCCAACTCTATAATTCTATGATTCTATGAGTGTAACTGAATAGAGAGACTGTATTATTTTTGCGATGTGTTTGCATATCGTTCTGTAAAGAAGACTCACTGGAGATATTATTTGTTGTATATTTGTGAGAACAATTCTTTTGTTTTGCTTTGTGTTTTTGCTCTACAGTGAATAGAACTATATTCTACTCAAAGCCACAGACTTGTGTATTTTTTGAGTTTTTATCACACTGAGAGTAAAAGGGGCTGAGACATTCTGCAGGCTGTTGACGCTATTCTGACACTGGTTATGGGCCCAGCATGCCCTAGTATGCCCAGCATAGCAGCAAAAGTACTCTTAAAGCCCAGATCTTTGGAATTTTGTTTTGCATGATTTTTGTGCTTAAGTAGAAAGTAAAACAGCTATTGCTCAGTATATGTCAGGCTTGCCATTTGAGCGCTTGAATTCTAACAATTATATGGCTTGCAATGTCAAGCTGAACAATTTTCTGATTAGAGATGGCCCACGAGGTCTCCTCCAAGTCTATGATTCTATGATTCTTCCATTTCCAATTCCTCTACCTTTCATTTCATCTTCCCCTTCCTCCTCTTCTTTCCCTTCTTCTTTTTCTTCATCTTCTTCCCCTTCCTTCTCTTCTTCTTCCCCTTCTTCTTGTTCTTCCTCCTCCTTTTCTTTCACCTTCTTCCCCTTCCTTCTCTTCTTTCCCTTCTTTTTTCCCTTCATCTTCTTCCCCTTCCTTCTCCTCTTCTTCCCCCTCCTTTCCTTTCATCTTCTTCCCCTTCCTCCGCTTCTTCCCCTCCTTGTCCTTCCTCCTCCTTTCCTTTCATCTTCTTCCCCTTCCTCCTCTTCTTTCCCTTCCTTCTTTCCCTTCATCTTCTCCTCCTTCCTCATCTTCTTACCCTTCTTCTTGTTCTTCCTCCTCCTTTCCTTTCACCTTCTTCCCCTTTCTTCTTATCTTCTTTCCCTTCTTGTTTCTTCCTCCTCCTTTCCTTTCACCTTCTTTCCCTTCTTCTTTTTCATCATCTTCTTCCCCTTCCTTCTCCTCTTCTTCATCTTCTTCTTCCTCCTCCTTTCCTTTCATCTTCTTCCCCTTCCTCCACTTCTTTCTCTTCTCCTTCTTTCCCTTCCTCATCTTCCCCCTTCGTATAACCCCTTTCCATTCTCCCCCCTTTTTCTTCTTTCCCTTCCTCCTCCTTTCCCTTCATCTTCTTCCATTTCATATTCTCTCATTCATCTTCTTTCGCTTTCTCTTCCTTTCTTTTCATCTTCTTTCCCTTTGTCTTCTTTCCCTTCCTACTCTTCTCCTTTCCCTTCCTCCCCTTCCTCTTCCTTTCATCTTCTTCCCTTTCCTCCATTCACTTTTTTTCTTCTCTTCCTTTCATCTTCTTCCCTTTCCTCCACTTCTTTCTATTCACCTTCTATCCCTTCATCCTCTTCCCCCTTCGCCCTCCCCCTTTCCATTCTCCTCCCCTTCTTCTCTTCCCTTTCCTATTCTCCTCCTTCATCTGCTTTTGCTTCCTATTCCTTTCTTTTACTCTTTTCCCCCTTCCTCTTCCCCTTCGTCTCCCTTCCCTTCGTCCCTTTCTTCTCCCTTTCACCTTCTTCCCCTCCCTCCTCTTCTTTCCCTTCTTCTTTTTCTTCAAACTACAAGAGAGGAGATTCCATCTGAACATGAGGAAGAACTTCCTGACTGTGAGAGCCATTTAGTAGTGGAACTCTCTGCCCCGGAGTGTGGTGGAGGCTTCTTCTTTGGAAGCTTTTAAACAGAGGCTGGATGGCCATCTGTCAGGGGTGATTTCTTCTTTTTCTTCATCTTCTTCCCCTTCCTTCTTCTTCCCCTTCTTCTTGTTCTTCCTCCTCCTTTCCTTTTATCTTCTTCCCCTTCCTTCTTTTCCTGCTTCTTGGCAGGGGGTTGGACTGGATGGCCCATGAGGTATCTTCCAACTCTTTGATTCTATGATTCATCTTTTCCCCCTTCCTCCTCCTCTTCTTCCCCTTCCCCTTCTTCTTCCTCCTCCTTCTCCTCCTTCTTTCCTTTCATCTTCTTCCACTTCCACCTTTTCTTTCCCTTCTTTTTCATCTTCTTCCCATTCCTTCTCCTCTTCTTCCTCCTCTTCTTCTTCCTCCTTTCCTTTCATATTTTCCCCCTTCCTCCACTTCTTTCTCTTCTCTTTCTATCCCTTCACCCTCTTTCCCCCTTAGTCTTCCCCCTTTCCATTCTCCGCCCCTTTCTTCTCCTCCTCCTTCATCTTCTTTTGCTTCCCACTCTTTTCTTTTCATCTTCCCCTTCCTCTTTCCCTTCGTCTCCTTTCCCTTCCTCCCCTTCCTTTTCCTTTCATCTTCTTCCCCTTTCTCCTCCACCTTAGTCTTCTCCTTGTCCTCCTCCTTCGTGGTGCAGGAACTCATCCTTGCTCTTCTCGTCCCTGCTACCCAGTTTCCCGTTCAAGAAGCCCTGCCCAGGAATAGCTCTCCTTCCTTCAAGCAAAGGCAGAACGGTCTAGTAAAACTGACCTACTTTACCGGATGCCGAGAAGAGGATGCCTTGAGGGTGTTCCTTCCAATCTCCTTGGGGGGGGGGGGGGGGGAGAAAAAGTTCCGAAATCGGACCAGACCCCCAGAGCCAGCAGGGACTCTGCATTGCCTAAGGCTTGCTGGAACTGGAATCCCTTTCAACCTCCCCCAAAAAGCAGGAAAGAACTAAAGGAACACTCAAGGATCATCAAGTTTGCAGACGACACCAAATTGGGAGGGATAGCCAATACTCCAGAGGACAGGAGCAGAATTCAAAACGATCTTGACAGATTAGAGAGATGGGCTAAAACTAACAAAATGAAGTTCAACAGTGACAAATGCAAGATACTCCACTTTGGCAGGAAAAACGAAATGCAAAGATACAGAATGGGGGACAATGCCTGGCTCGAGAGCAGTACGTGTGAAAAAGATCTTGGAGTCCTCCTGGACAAGTTAAACATGAGCCAACAATGTGATGTGGCGGCAAAAAAAGCCAATGGGATTTTGGCCTGCATCAATAGGAGCATAGTGTCTAGATCTAGGGAAGTCATGCTACCTCTCTATTCTGCTTTGGTTAGACCACACCTGGAATATTGTGTCCAATTCTGGGCACCACAATTCAAGAGAGATATTGACAAGCTGGAATGTGTCCAGAGGAGAGCAACTAAAATGATAAAAGGTCTGGAGAACAAGCCCTATGAGGAGCGGCTTAAGGAGCTGGGCATGTTTAGCCTGAAGAAGAGAAGGCTGAGAGGGGATATGATAGCCATGTATACAGGGCCGTAGCCAGAAAAAAATTTCGGGAGGGGTTGAAATTTTCAGGGAGGGGGGTTTGAAAATTTCACGGGGGGGGGGTGAAACCTGCCTTCTAACTCACGTTGAAGCAAAGAGCATAGCAGGGGGCAGAGCAGCCTTTAATAGCCTGCAGCTCCGCCCCTGTCAACCACCTCCACCAAGTCTAGCCTCCTTAATGAGAGCATTCAACACACACAACCCAACTTGGTTGCTTCACTACATCGGCTATTGCTGCAAGTAATGACAGTGTGAATACATTGTCAATATTTAAGGCCTTGCATGGTCTGGGGCCGATGTACCTGAGGGACCGCCTCACCCCCTACCAACCCCAGAGATCCCTCCGTTCTGAGGATCAAGATTTGTTGGAAATTCCCAGTGTCAAGACCTTGCGTCTAACAGCAACCAGACGCAGAGCCTTTACAGCAGTGGCACCATCACTCTGGAATACTCTGCCACCTGAAGTTCGTGCCTTGCGGGACTTATCAGCTTTCCGCAGGGCATGTAAGACATGTCTGTTTCGACAGGCCTTTGATCTCTGATATTGCTGTTTTTAAATTGTTTTAAATTGTTTTTAAATTGTGTTCGATTTTAGCCTGTTCTTGTAAGCCGCTCCGAGCCCCAGGGGAGTGGCGGCATATACGTTCAAATAATAAATAAATAAATATTTGCTTGAGATAGTGCTTGCAGTTCTGGAGGGACTCTTAATTTTTTGCATCTCATAGACTTAGCATGGGGATTTGGTTAACCAGTTAACATTCATGAGTAAACTGGGTTTTTTAAAAAAAATCTGAAACATTTCGGGGGGGGGTTGAACCCCTACCCCCCCCCCCCCTCTCTACATGATAGCCATGTATAAATATGTGAGAGGAAGCCACAGGGAGGAGGGAGCAAACTTGTGTTCTGCTTCCCTGGAGACTAGGACGCGGAACAATGGCTTCAAACCACAAGACAGGAGATTCCATCAGAAGATGAGGAAGAACTTCCTGGCTGTGAGAGCTGTTCAGCAGTGGAACTCTCTGCCCCGGAGTGTGGTGGAGGCTCCTTCTTTGGAAGCTTTTAAACAGAGGCTGGATGGTCATCTGTCAGGGGTGATTTGAATGCAATTTCCCTGCTTCTTGGCAGGGGGTTGGACTGCATGGCCCATGAGGTCTCTTCCAACTCTTTGATTCTATGATTCTACTTTTCTCTCACCTTTTGAGAAAGGCTAGCTTGAAGTAAGTGAAGGGAGGGGGGGCGGTAGGGGCGTGGCTTCAGCGACCTTGGCTCCGCCCCGCTTTGCTGGTGGCTGCGCGCGGCGGCCAAGAGCAGGCAGAGAAGAGGAGGAGGAGGAGGAGGAGGGAGGTTGGTGGCCGCATCAGGACCGCGGCTGAAGGTCCCTCCGCCGGCTCTGGCCCTTGAGGACAGAAGAAGCCGACCAACCTCGACGGAGCCCGGCCAGTGAGCAAGCAAGCGAGCGAGCGAGGATGCTCGGCGTCCGTCGCGCGTTGCCTTGGGCGCTGCTGTGGCCGCTGCTGCTCTTGCCCGGCGGGGCGCTCCGGAGCGGGCTGGGCAGCGCGGCCGGGAGCCAAGGTAAGGGCAAGCCGCTCCGATCCACTCCTCTCTTCTTGCCCATTGCTCCTGGGACCCGCTCCCCCCCCCCCCTTGCGCTTCCCTATGCTCCTCGCCTTGCTCTCCCGTTTTGGTGCATGCTTTCCAAGATCTTTCCGACTTCTCTCGCCCCGAAGGTGAAGGTCTCATAGGAGCCCCATCTCCCTTGCCCTCTCGTGCCGTCTGGAATCGCCAGTGTCGATTCAGATCCTGCAGTCGAACAGCATGGAAGTGCTTTCGAAGGGTCGACGCTGACCACAGAAGGCGTTGTATGAGCCTACGCTGACCATTGAATGCATTGTGTGATTCTACAGAGACCATTGAATGCATTATATGAGTCTATGCTGGTCACTGAATGCATTATATGAGTCCACACTGACCATTGAATGCATGATATGAGTCACTGACCATTGAATGTATTGTATGAGTCTACACTGATCATTGAGTGCATTATATGAGTTCACACTGACTATTGAATGCATTATTTGAGTCTACACTGACCATTGAATGCATTATATGAGTCTACACTCACCATTGAATGCAATATATGAGTCTGCACTGACCACTGAATGCATTATATGAGTGTACACTGACCATTTAATGCATTATATGAGTCTACAGTGACCATTTAATGCATTGTGTGAATCCTCACCATACCTTGCCTTATTTGAGTCTCCACTGACCATTGTATTTGTCTACACTGACCATTGAATGCATTATTTGAGTCTACAGGGACATTGAATGCATTATATGAGTATACTGACCATTTAATGTATTATATGAGTCTACACTGACCATTTAATGCATTATATGAGTCTACAGAGTCATTGAATGCATTATATGAGTCTACAGAGTCATTGAATGCATTATGAGTATACTGACCATTTAATGCATTATGAGTCTATACTGACCATTCAATGCATTATATGAGTCTACAGTGATCATTGAATGCATTATATGAGTGTACACTGACCATAGAATGCATTATATGAGTCTACACTGACCATTTAATGCATTATATGAGTCTACACTGACCATTTAATGCATTATATGAGTCACTGACCATTGAATGCAATATATGAGTCTGCACTGACCATTGAATGCATTATATGAGTCTGCACTGACCATTTAATGCATTGTATGAGGCTAGACTGACCATTTAATGCATTATATGAGTGTACACTGACCATTGATTGCATTATATGAGTCTACACTGACCATTTAATGCATTATGAGTCTAGACTGACCATTGAATGCATTATATGAGTGTACACTGACCATTGGTTGCATTATATGTGTCTACACTGGCCATTGAATGCATTATATGAGTTTACACTGACCACTGAATGCATTGTATGAGACTACACTGACCATTTAATGCATTGTGTGAATCTACACTGACCATTTAATGCATTATATGAGTCTACAGTGACCATTTAATGCATTGTGTGAATCTTCACCATACCTTGCCTTATTTGAGTCTCCACTGACCATTGTATTAGTTTGTGCTGACCATTTAATGCATTGTATGAGTCTACACCATATCATGTCTTATGTGAGTTTACACTGACCATTTAATGCATTGTGAGAATCTACTCTGACCCTTTAATGCATTATGAGTCTACACTGACCATTTAATGCATTGTGTGAATCTACACTGACCATTGAATGCATTATATGAGTCTACACTGATCTTGCAATGCATTTATATGACTGCAAATTGGCCCTGGAATGCATTTTATGAGTCTGCCCTGACAATATAATGCATTGTATGAGTCCATACTGACCAAGCAATGCCTACACTGACCATGACCTATGCTGGACATTGTTTGAGTCTATACTGACCATACATTATATTAGTCTGCTTTGACCAAATCTTGCATTATACAACTATATGTAGATATGAACAGGGGTTTCTTGGCAGGATTTGCATTTGCTTCGCTGTGAGGCTGAGAAAGTGTTGCTCACTCATGGTGGGATTCCATGGTGAAATTGAGATGTAAAGCCTGCCCGTCCAGAGTCCTGGTTGAATGCACATGCAGACAGGAGGGTAAATCAGGTCATCATTTTCATACATTTTTTTGAAAAAAGTTTACTTTCTTGGTTTCTGTTGTATCCTAACAGGTTACTCTCTTTCTCTGTTTGCTTGATTCTGAGGTCAGGGGAAGTTTTCTCTGCCAAATGTCTCATTGCTGTTAAAACTACAGCTCCAAAATGGGGCATAGTTAGGAGAGTTGGGAAAACGTCTTGGTAGAATGCTGGACTAGGGCAGTAGCTTCAAACTGCAGGAAAAGAAAGCCTACCTCAATATTAGAAAGATCTTCCTGAAGGTTAGAACTGTCTGGCAGTGAAATATATGTGGTGGAGTCTCCTTCTCTGGAGGTTTTAAAGCAGGGGCTGGTTGGCGATCTGCCGGGGGTGCTTTGATTGTGTGTTCTTGCATGGCAGGAGGTTGGACCGGATGGCTCTTGTGGTCTCTTCCAACTCAGATTCTGTCACCCCTTTCCTTCTCTTCCCCAAGTGTAGGCATTAGAAAGGTCCTCCTTGATGAAAGATTATTTCTGGTGGTGGTTATAATGCAGTGTGTACTTTGACAGCCCCGTGTCCAATTTAGAGGAGTGGATGTTCCCAAAGAGTCCTTTATTTACCTATTTTTCATTGTATTTTGGGAATCTAGAGGTCTGCAACAGGGTGAGGGAGTCTGTTCTTTTTGCAGACTAGCTTAGGCCCCAAAGGTTCACATTAAAATCTAATGGGAAGATAGGGTTTGAGAAGCTGTGGGTTTCACTCGTATAGGGGGCAGTGGCATTACTCTGGAAGGAAGAATGTCTTCTGTAAGATGATGTGTGATAAGGATCACATGGAATCAGGGCCGTAGCCAGAAAAAAAATTCGGGGAGGGTTGACAATTTCGGGGGGGGGGGGGGGGGGGTTTGGAAATTTTGGGGGGTGGGGTTGAAACCTGCCTCCTAGCTCACGCTGAAGCAAAGAGCACAGCAGGGGGCAGAGCAGCCTTCAATAGCCTGCAGCTCCTCCCCTGTCAACCACCTCCACCAAGTCTGGCCTCCTTAATGAGAGCATTCAACACTCCCCCCCCCAACTTGGTTGCTTCGCTACATCGGCTATTGCTGCAAGTAATGACAGTGTGAATAAATTGTCAATATTTGCTTGAGATAGTGCTTGCAGTTCTGGAGGGACTCTTAATTTTTTGCATCTCATAGACTTAGCATGGGGATTTGGTTAACCAGTTAAAATTCATGAGTAAACCAGGTTTTTTTTTTAAAAAAATCTGAAACATTTCGGGGGGGGGTGAACCCCTAAAACCACCCCCTCACTACAGGCCTGCATGGAATAGATTAATAGAATCATAGAGTTGGGAGAGATCTCCTGGGCCATCCAGTCCAACCCCCTGCCAAGAAGCAGGAATATTGCATTCAAAGCACCCCAGACAGATGGCCATCTAGCCTCTATAAAAATCTCCAAAGAAAGAGCCTCCACCACACTCTGGGGCAGAGAGTCTTGCATGCAGATAGAGGTTGCCTGCCTGTCCACTTACTGTTCTCTTGAGTACTACATATATCTCCGTGTCAGTAGTTCTTACTGCTGTGTGTTTTACTGAAACTGGATGCTGCAAGTTCTGTCCTGAGAACAGCAGACCACATTCCCAACTTTGATCAGCCCACTGACTCGTCATCTCCTCAAAGAGACAAAAAAGGAGAAAATATCCATTTGAAAATGTCCTTATAATTCTTGTTTTTAATTTTGACGAAGGATATGGGAGTGGCTTGAAGAGCATGCAGTGGTCCATTGCTTCCTTGGTCAGTGTTTGCATGAGAAAGTGACCGTATTCTCTTTGAGCAACAATGCACCAGAACTGAAGAAGTGCTTGCAATTTTGCTCTCTCTTTTTTCTCAAGGCATCCCTTTTCCCAGTTTTGGCATAGAGAGACTGAAAGGAACTGAACCAGTAACACGTGGTTCCCATATGCTATCTTTGTGGAAGAAGTACGTTACAAAGCTTTGTGTTCAGCTTTCTGACTTGTCTGATTTCATTTTCATCTTTAAATATAAATATAAGGAGAACCAGCTCATGGAAAAAAGTTGTTAAAATCGTTTGTCACTATTAACTTGCTATAGGGCTTCAATAATAATAATAATAATAATAAATTATAGTCATTATGCGTTCTTTGGGAATGAGGAAAAGTACATATGAAAATGCAATGTTGTTGTTGTTCATTCATTCAGTTGTTTCTGACTTTTTGTGACCTCATGAACCAGCCCAGGCCAGAGCTCCCTGTCAGCCGTCACCACCCACATCTCCTTCATGGTCAATCCAGTCACTTCAAGGATGACATTCACCCATCTTTTCCTTGGCCGCCCTCTTTTTCCTTCTATTTTCCCCAGCATAATTGTCTTCTCTAAGCCTTCCTTTCTTCTCATGATGTGGCCAAAGAACTTCATCTTTGCCTCTAATATCCTTCCCTCCAATGACCAGTCAGGCTTTATTTCCTGAAGTATGGACTGGTTGGATCTTCTCGCAGTCCAAGGCACTCTCAGAACTTTCCTCCAACACCACAGTTCAAAAGTGTCTATCTTCTGTTGCTCAGCCTTCCCTATGGTCCAGCTCTCACATCCATAGGTGACTACAGGGAATACCATTGCTTAAACTATGCGTATCTTCATTGCCAGTGTGATGTCTCTACTCTTCACTATTTTATCGAGATTGGACATTGCTCTCCTCCCAAGAAGTAAGCGTCTCCCGATTTCCTGGCCACAGTCTGCGTCTGCAGTAATCTTTGCAATTGCTTCTCAGCCTTTTGGCTAAGATCAAGCATAGTGTGTAGTCATCTTTGCACCTAGAAATACAAAGTCTGTCACTGCCTCCATGTTTTCTCCCTCTATTTCCCAGTTGTCAATCATTCTTGTTGCCATAATCTTGGTTTTTTTATTGTTTAGCTGCAACCCAGCTTTTGCACTTTCTTCT